CGGTGCGCGCGCTGTCTGTGGAGACTCGCGCTGCAGCGCGAGTCTCCACAGACAGCGCGCGCACCGCTCTTGACCCGCTCGCATCCGGACTCGTCGTCATGGCGGCGCGCATTGTTTAGAGCAGATATAGGTGGATAAACAAGGTTTCCGTCTCATGATCGCGGGTTCAGATACACTAAAATACGTCCACACCACAGACATGTTGCTTCAGACAAGCACGTGCAGGTCGCGGTTTCTGTTTGCGTCATCACAACATTTCGGCCGTATTGTTTCGGTGATAAAAGTCTTTCGGCCGAAAACCGAAAATGCACTTTTGGGCCATTTTCGGCCGAAAATTTTCGGCGGCCGAATATTCGGTGCATCCCTAGTTTTTAACCGTCTTTTGATACTTGAACCATCTGGTTCCCATTGAAGTCCATTATATGGAGAAAAATCCTGGAATGTTTTCATCAAAAACCTAAATTTCTTTTCGACTGAGGAAAGAAAGACATGGACATGTTGGATGACATGGGGGTGAGTAAATTATCAGCAAAAGTTTTTTCAAAAGTGAACTAATCCTTTAACCAAATGCAATAACAGCTTAAAAAGTACTTGGATGTGTGTTTCATTTTAAATTTACCATTTAATAATGTGATCGCTGTTGCGTGTCCATAGAAGAACATGACAGCCCGCGTCTGTTTTGGAACTATTGGGGCTTCAATGAACCACGTGACAGCCTTGCGGCGACATCAAAGCGTGTCGCAACTCTCTCAATATCACTGCCGTAAAACACGACGTAACGCTTCTCAAGGGCGCAATTTTTGAATTTGAATTCATCACCAGCGTGGGATTTGATTTGACATGTAAGATCACGACTGGATAAAAGGCTGAATTAGGAGTTGTTTCTTGCAAACAACTATGGATTCTAAAGATTTGGATTACATCAAACTAATAAAATTGATGTCTTTTGTGAATTTTTGTTATGTTTTATAGGAGAAAACGCTTTATGTGTCTCATAGTAAATAAACTAGGTATATTACAAAATGGTTAAACTAATAGTGTATTGTTTAACACCATGCAGGCGAAACGAGCAAAATGTTAATATTTATGAGTATTATATCAATAAATTCGACTGAAAACTTAATAAGACAGTGGAATGCAATAGAGTCAAAACATAATGCTACTGATAGGCATAAATTGTGATAGGCCTACGTACAAATAATACGTCGGTGGATTTGTTCATACGTAAATAATTTGCGTTTTTGTGCTGTCAATACGTAAATATTTTACGTTTAAGTACTGCAAATATGTCGTATTATGTTTCTCCGCATATAAAATGTAATTACATGTACATATGATAGAACGACACTTTACGTACAAATATAGGCTGTATTCTCATGAGATCACCTTATTTATTATGTAGAATATATTTCAGATTTAATTGTACTTTGCCATTTAATCTCTTTGTTGACCTTTTTTCCCCTTAATCCCATCGTAAATTTGTTGTCATAGCCCTTCACATCACCATGAAGGACATAGCCTACTACACATCACCAGGTGCTTCTTCTTTGACAACAAACAACCTTCTTTTCAAAAACGCCCTAATGAGATTAACAGATTAACACAGATTAAGAAAATCAGACCGATTTATCCATTTCAGGAAGCCGAGTTTAGCTTAAGTATATTTAGGCTACTACCTATGACTCTTGGTTCTTAAATTACAATGGTAAAAAGCCTTTCCTAAACAGTTTCACAGCTGTTTTAAAAGAAGCTTGGCATTTACACGCGCGTGTACATTTCGCGCGTGACATTATGGCATGAATTCATAGATGTTTTTCAATGTAATTTTCAGCGGTACATTTTTCATTAGTATTATGTAGTTTATTCATCTTTATAAACACAACAAAATGACAATCATCTTTCTTAAAAATGCGGTTATATCGAGTAACCATTAGTTTATTCAAACACACAACAAAATGACTATCATCTTTCCTGGAGGGCGGTTAACGTTACATTGAGTAACCACATTTGAGATAAAGCACCCTACTGTGATCAATTTGATGCTCGTGCGTCTGTTGCAATTCGTTCGAAGAGCATCTAGTTTATCAAAGTTAAAACACTGAACGACTTATTCAGGACACAAGACAGCACGAAGATGGCACACAGTAGCCTACTCTTAATAGTCAGTGACAATGAAAAGGAAATAAGCGTCCAACACTCACCTCAGGGGGATTTTTACAGCCAGATATCTGTCGATGGCAACCGCAAGAAGACTAAATATTGAACTTTGAGTCAGTACCAGAACAAAACACGCCAGGAAAAGACATCCATAAAAGTCTGAGCGCAGACCAATGCTTATAGTGATGGCAAAAGGGATGGCAAGACAGCCAACCAGAATATCTGCCACGGCTAGTGACACCAGAAAGTAATTGGTGGCGTTCTTGAGAGTGGAGTTGATGGCCACAGCCCAGCACACCAGTACATTACCAGCGATTGACAGTACGGCGATCACTAGCTCTATAGCGATGTACAGAGAATCCATTGCTGCACACTTCACAGAGAAAATCCTTTAGACAGTAGGCTAGTTAGGATGTCATAAGTCTGTCTATCACTCTGTGGAGCTTGTCCACTGGTAAAAGAAAAATAATCCACGGATCTCCAAAGTTTGTGACTTGCCAACACGGACATCTGTTGGTGTAAAAAAACAACATTTTTGCATTAATTCTCTTAAGATAATTATTTAAAGCCATTAGAGGCATATAAAGATACATTGTTTAATTTCTGACATTCTCACTGACGAGCAGAAAGTTATTACAGAAAGTCACAATCATCTGTGGGATTTGGAAGAGGTAGTGTAGGCTTACTTACCCTGAAATAATTCAGTGCTGCTTTTATTGTTTGACGTTCCTCTTCAAACTGGCTTGCATTTGTGTCTTATGGTACATTTTGCAGAAGAAGGAAGTAGTGTGTGACGCATCATGAGCGCAACACATGGCTTTTTATGCAGATCGTTGAAAATAGAGAGCCCTGACTGTACATCACAGCTCATGGCCACGCCCCAACCGCGTGAGCGATGCCCTGACACACACACACATTGGTTAAAGTGGGATTTGGTAGGTGTGGGAGAACCCTAAAAGTTTGTGTAGGTGCAACAGGGAAAAATTACTCACTGTGGGAAAACATATTGAGTATCGTGGTATAGCAATACTTTTTGGGTCAAGAGTGTTGCTGTGGCACCAAGTATCACTTATTTATTTGATATTTTAATGGTTTTATTTTGGCCCATCTACACTAAAATGATTATGATGATACTGTTAAAATTGCTTAAAGGGTTATTAGTTCACCCAAAAATGAAAATTCTGTCAGTATTTACTCACCCTCATGTTGTTTCAACCCCGTAAGACCTTCGTTCATCTTCGGAACACAAATTAAGATATTTAAGATATTAAGATCGCTCCTGCATACAGTCCATATTCTTGAGGTACTGGCTCTTGCTGTCCTCGAAAAGTCATTAAAGACATCGTTAAAATAGTCCAAGTGACTACATGCTCAATCTTAAGTTTATCAAACGACGAGAACACTTTTGTGCGCAAAAAAACAACAAAAATAACGACTTTATTTCAACTATCACTTCCTTCTCCATGAGCCTGTAAGTCAGTTAACGTAGTGTGATTGCGTAGAGCTACGTCACACGTAGGCTCACTATTGGCCGACGCTGGTCATGTGTGTGTGATGCGTGTGACGTACAATTACAGAAGCTTACGCTATTAAACTAGTAACCTGACTCGCGCAGAGGGAGAAATAAACGAATAGTTGAAATAAAGTCGTTATTTTTGTTGTTTTTTTGCGCACAAAAGTGTTCTCGTCCTTTGATAAACTTAAGATTGAGCCCCTGTAGTCACTTGGACTATTTTAACGATGTCTTTAATGACTTTTCGAGGACAGCAAGAGCCAGTCCCTCAAGAAGCCTATGGACTGTATGCAGGAGCGATCTTAATATCTTAAATATCTTAATTTGTGTTCCGAAGATGAACGAAGGTCTTACGGGGTTGGAACAACATGAGGGTGAGTAAATACTGACAGAATTTTCATTTTTGGGTGAACTAACCCTTTAACACTGGGACAAAAATTGAGCCCTGGCACTGTAGCCATGCCAGCCCGCATTATCATCCCCAGCCCCACCCACAGACATGTGCATGAAAAAGTAAGGTATTTAGGGGTGTTCGGGGGCATGCTCGCCCCCGAGAAAATTTTGATTTCTCTGACGTGCAATTTAAGAAGCAAATTTATTAGAGGTGCAACAATTGACGTTTCGATGTACAACTACATCTTCATCAGAGTACTTGGAGAAAATGAGTAATGAAGCCCTTAATAAGGATCATCAACAGGTGTGATTGTACGTAAAGGAGGCGTGACTCGCCCAGGTGCCATCAAAACCAAGGTGCCACACTCAAACAATAATTAAAAAAAAAAAAAAAAAAAAAAAAAAAAACATGTATGGAATCCACATGGTATCAAGGGAACCACAACATCTACAACTCACAAAACAAATGCAAAAAAAAAAAGTTTTTTTTTTTTTTTTTTTTTTTTTTTAGAGAAAGCAAGATAGGTTTAATTCTTCATTTAAACCAAAAGGTTCAAGAGTGTTGACCGTATGTATCCAGAACGCTTCCCTGCATAGAAGTTTGTTAATAATATCACCACCTCTGAGTGGGGGTGAAATTTTCTCAATTCCCCAAAACTTCAAAGATGCAGGGGAACCATGATTGGCCTGCTTATAATGCCTCGCCATGGCATAAGTTAAGTTCTGGGTGCGAATTGCTGTTTTGAGCTCAGCTATAAGTTTCAATTGACATTTTGTTTGACCAATGTACACCAGTTCACATGGACACTTTAGCATGTATATTACGTGAGTGCTGTTACAATTAATAAATGAAGAAATAAAATATTTCTTACCAGTACGTGGATGTGAAAAGTCTTTGGTGTTGGTCGAATTGGAGCATTGCGCGCAGTTGCCACATTTGTAAAAGCCCAGAGGTGGGCTAGAGAGCCAGGTGGTCGGCAGAGGCGAAGTCATATCCGAATGAACCAATCGGTCACGAATGTTACGAGCGCGTCTGAACACAAATCTGGGTGGCTCAGCGCAGATGTCTTTAAGTGCAGGGTCACTGTTAAGGACATGCCAATGTTTTCGAATTATATTTTTTATTCTTCCTGCTGCTGTATAGCTAGTGGAAAAAATTATTTTGGATGTAGTGTGAAGCTTAGATTTTTTCTTTAACAATGAGGCGCGATCTGTATTTAGAGCCCTATTCCATGCTTTACTAATGTCAGATTTGTCATAACCACGTTGTTTAAAACGACGCGCTAGATCCAATGCTTTAGACAAAAATTCGCTTGTAGTGCTACAGTTTCTTCGGACTCTTAAAAATTGGCCCACAGGTATATTACGAACCAGATGAGGCGAATGATTACTGTCTGCTCTTAACAGGGTGTTCCTGCTGAGAGGCTTGCGGTAAATAGTGGATTGAAGAATATTATTTTCATCCTTAAAAATGGTAAGGTCTAAGAAATCAATAGACAACTTGTTAGATTCCATAGTGAACGACAGATAGTCTGCGGTAGAGTTAACATAAGTCAAAAATTTAGACAATTCACTTGTTGTACCTTTCCATATTAAAAAAACATCATCTATGTATCTACGCCAAAGTGCTAATTTTGAATGGAACGGGTTGTTTTTGATGTTCTGCATGTATTTTTCTTCCCATAGACCCATCACCAGACAAGCATATGAAGGAGCAAACGAAGATCCCATAGCAGTCCCTTGGAGTTGTAAATAAAATGTATCCTTATATTTGAAAAAATTATTGGATAAGATAATCTCGACCAAGTTTAAAAGAAATTCGGATGGAGGTAAAACATCAGTGGGACGTCTAGTTAAATAATGTGAAATGGCTTGTAAGCCTATGCGATGAGGTATACATGTATATAGACTTTGCACATCCAGCGATACAAGGACATCATCACTTTCACACTTCCAGTTGTCAATCAAATTTAGAACATCAGTTGAAACCCCAAGATAAGATGGTAAACCATGGACATATTGTCTTAGAAAAAAATCAACAAATTGTGAAAGAGGCTCTGTTAAGCCTCCTATGCTGGATACAATAGGGCGCAAAGGAGGATCATCAAGTCGCTTGTGAATTTTGGGTAAACCATAGAATACTGGACATCGAGGATAGTCACTTAATAAAAAATCCCTTTCTTTATCAGTAATCCAGGCTTTTTTATGAGACGAATCAATAAAATCATCAATCATACTTTTAGTGCTGGATGTAGGGTTGCGAAGAAGGGGCTGATAATGTTTTTCATCATTTAATAATTTGAATATACCACAATCATAATTCTTTAATCCCATAACAACAACAGCGCCCCCTTTGTCAGATGGGCGAATTATAATGTCCTGTTTAGCTTCTAAAGAACGTAACGCATCCAATTCACTTTTTGTCATTTTCTTATTATTAGAGGTACAAGATCTACTTAATTTAGCCATATCCTGCTCAACTAACTGACTGAACGTGACAATGGTGGGATTTAAGATAGAAGAAGGCAAAAACTTTGATTTCTTTTTAAATGGAGTGACTTCTTAAAGGACTTTATTTTGCCCCGGTCAATCAGATTGACTCTTTTTCGCTTAAAGTGGACTCATTTAAATTCTTTAGACAGCTCCTGTTATGAAGTGGGAGGATAGACGAACCCAAAAGCAGACTGATAGCTCAACACAGAATTTATTCAAGACAAAACAGAAAATAAAACCCACGAGGGGGCAAAACAAGACTGGGTAGCAAACACTAAACTTAGACTGAGGTCAAGACAGGAACAATACTAAGACACGAACAGACTCTAGATTAACAGTTAACTCATGGAATTACTCACTGCAAACTTCACAAACCATCAAACAGATCTCACGGCAGGTTTCACACAATGAACCGACACAGGACAGCAAACACAAGGGGATAATAAAGGGAACACTAATGACAAAGACAGGTGAAACTGACTAGACAATAATCACAAGACTAGGATAACAAGGGGGCGGGGTAAGTTAACGAGACAACACAAGCACATGGCCCAAACAGGCCATGCGCTTGCACACAAAACATGATTCTGTCATGATCCTGCCTCACGACTAGAGAAAAATCAAAGACAAGAAGGCAGAATCATGACAGCTCCATCTTAAACATTTCTTCTCTAGGTCTAATGTCTTATCCAACAGTCGTATTGTCTGTAGAAACTATGATTCGAATACAAGAGAGACCCCGAGAGAAGTCACTCCATTTAAAAAGAAATCAAAGTTTTTGCCTTCTTCTAACTTAAATCCCACCATTGTCACGTTCAGTCAGTTAGTTGAGCGGGATATGGCTAAATTAAGTAGATCTTGTACCTCTAATAATAAGAATATGACAAAAAGTGAATTGGATGCGTTACGTTCTTTAGAAGCTAAACAGGACATTATAATTCGCCCAGCTGATAAAGGGGGCGCTG